TTCTAACTTCATTTTTTACTTCTTATCTCATTTTTTTTTGCTTCTTTTATAAACTCACACCCTCTTTTTCTATCTATCACATATTCAGAATCAAGATTAGAACAAAACTGGCTCTTACTCTAACACCTATACGTACTATTGCATACGTTGTATGCATTCTTGCCATCTTTTCCTTGGCCGCTGCCATCATAGCTATTGCTATGCCATATTGGATCAGTCAAAAAATTGAAAAAGGAGGAATCGTAGCGACGTATACAGCTGGTCTTTGGAAAGCATGTATTAATTCTAGCTCTCCACCAATACCATGCACAGATTTTACAAAATTGCAACAATTTCGTCCAGCTCAAGTTCTGTGTGTGATTGGTGGTTTGGCATTCAACTTGATGGCAGCCTGTTTCGGTTTAGAAGCAAATTTTCGTGTGAATAGTGCACGAAGTTCGAAAAGACTGATAGTCTCAGTTCTACATGTAATTGCATCAGTCTGTATAATTGCTGGACTATTGGATTATTTGAGACAGTTTGAAAAAATAATTATGCCACCAACTGAAGATATCACATCGACAATTGGCTATTCAATGGCGTTAATGGTTTGCTCTTCTCTTTTGGCTGAGGTTGGTGCAGCTCTATATGGACTGATAGTTGGCTACAATCTTCAACAGAAGGAAGTGCATCGTGCAGTTAGCTCAGTTATGTGGACTGTTGGAGTGTTAGCGGTTGTGCTAGCCGTCCTGGGAATTGCTTCACCAGTTTGGCTAAAGCTTAAAGCTGATAATCAAACGTTTGGTCTATGGCAATGGTGTGTTACGATACTTGACGCGCCACGAAAATGTCTGAGTTTAACGGGAAATGAATTTGTCGAACAATTTAAAAAGGCAATTGAATATCGTGTAGCACAAGCGTTGGCCATTGTTGGAGCGGTTGTACTAGGTAAGTAAATAAGTGAAGCTGAAAATTAATTGAATTCTATTGAGCGAAAATCTTTCCCTTTCTCTCTCTCTAGCTATCTCCGTGCTCCTCTCACTTCTGACGACATGCATATTGAAACAAAATGTCATTGTAAAAGTCGTTGTCCTTGCACTCTACATTCTCGCTGGTGTACTTCTACTTGCTACAATCATTGACTATTTTGCAACGATGTTGAAAGTAACTGAAGATTACAAGGTCAACTTCTCAGTGGCAATGATGACATTTTCCGCGGTAGCAACAGGAGTAGCTGCAGTGTTCGAAGCAGTGTTGTTAGGAGATTTAATGGCCGCTAGTGGATGTTTTGCTTGAGAAGGACGTCAAACAAGAACGAATCTGACTAACATTGATTCGTTTCTCCTTTTGTTACAAAAATAAAGCAATCGACATAACTTGTAATTTACATGTTTCGTTGTTCATATCCACAAGTTCAACATATGTCAGTCTGTGATAAGATAAGTGTCGTATCTGATGCTTTGTACATCCGATGTTTCCAAAGATTCTAGAGAAACTCAAACCAAACATTTCACAGTCAATGGTTAGGTACTTGTTCTAATCCTATTGGATACATGCGTACGACTGTTTTTATTTTAAAGCGAAATACTATCCTTTATTATATTAAAAATAAAATTAGAATAAATTATTTCAGATTTAAAAGAGCTTCTCTTTGAAACGAAGAGAAAAAAATATTTATGAAATAAATCTCAGAATCTGGACAAGAAGAATATATACGTCACTGTTCATGTGACTAAATAAACAAGAATACAGAAGGTAAACAAACCATTTAAAAATCTCAAAAATTGTAATGCATTATTTCGACCGTACACATCTACAACATAATTTCTTCTAAATTTGTTAGTACGACAAAATTCCTATGCTTTTGCTTCTTGGTGATCTCACTGTCTGATCTCTCCTTCATCCACGCGCCCAATTCGTATTCGTTTGTTAAAAGTGTAACTTTTAGAACTTCATCTTTTAAAAGTAATTAACAATATGAAATAGAGTTTCAAGGTTGATTGAGTAATATTGTTTGTATCACACAAGGCAACAAGAGCGTAATTTTTTTTTTCGATTATGAATAATAAACAGAGTCACTGAAGACATTTACAGTTCAACTAGAAGGCATTTTGGAGAAGGTATATAATGCATAATAATTTCTTTAGGAGAAAAAGAAAATAAGTTATGCATTATACAATTACTTGAAAGCAAGTACGAACGTTAAAATTAAGTATCATCAAATCGGTCCTTTTGCTCATTTTAAATCGAGAAAATTTTTTTCCAGTTCCATTTTCAAAATCACATAAGTAGAAGAATTCCACATGGCTCTTTGACTTGTCCAGACTCTATTTTTGAATACAATATAACTGATTTGATCTACAGTTTTTGAATGTATATAGGATAAAGTTCCACAAAATTGTCAAAATAAGGATAAAAATTTGATATTCTTCAACTACGTAATAAAAAATGACATAACAATCTCGACATAATCAATATGATAGTTTTTTTTTCAGGATCATCTTCGGTTCGATTAATTCATTTTAAGGGTTCTATTTAAAACCTTGGATTGTATAGGGTTACATACACCCTTACTCGTTCTCTTTTGTCGATTTTGATGTAAACAATCCTACCTGTTCGAAACTTTCATTATACATCGAAGAGAATTACCATGTTTAAAATGAAATCAAAAAAAAAATACAGCATCAATCGTTACCTTTTAAGATATTAAGAATTATAACACAAAACAACATATGTTGCAATTTTGATATCTATACTGTCTTATGTTTGTAAAGAATTGCAACTATTTTCCAAATTAAAAGGTCTAAAAATAAAATCTGCATCTGATTCAGAAAGCGATATTAGAATGCAGATATCTAAAGAAAAGAAATTTATTTATCACAATCGCGATCCAATCCACAATATAGTTTAAAATAAAATTCTTATATTTTATTAAGACATCTAAACTATTCGAATTGAATTGATTCTTTTTTCTATTGAATAGAATATTAAAATAATTAAATTAGAAAAATGTCTCGCGATCTTGCCAAGTAACATATGAATATTTTCTTGAATTTGAATGTTCCATGAGAGGATGTCCTTCGTCAAGGCATCAGCTTTAATTATCCATCACCGATCGGTTTCTCTGCTTTTGCCTTAACATTATTTGTTTATTCGATGTACATAGCCGGTGCAACTGTCCCTATCTCAACTTCTCCTTATATTGCAATGGGTCGTGCACTTTTCTATGATGGTTTGATTCAATTTTTGGCTGGTTTATTTGAATTGAGCTTAGGAAATAATTTTCATGCATTTATATTTTGTTCTTATGCTAGTACATTTAATTTTCTTAGCGGCGTAATCGATACCAGTGTACAATATAAAGCATTAGATGTTTTCTATGTTGGATGGACAATATTTACCTTAGCTATGTTAATTGCATCAATTCGAACAAATGTAGCTTTAATATTATTTTTCTTTTTTTTTTTATGTCAACTGATGGGTTATTTACAACCAGTTACTTTCTTTTATGGGATCAAAATATGTCATGCGCAGGAGGAGCTGTTGGAATATTTACAGCAGCAATTGCGTGGTATGCAGGATTTGGAAGTTTAATCAGAAAAGGTGACAATTCATATTTCAATTTGCCAGTGTTCGTTTTATCACCGCGATCTCAAGCAGTTTTGACTGGAAGATCGGCAGCTGAAGTTCATGAACAAAAAATATAAACAAAAAAAACTTCACATATAAGATTGATTGCTTCTCAGATCACACTTTTTTTAACTTGCAATTTTATTTCACTCGCATAAGTATAATATTTTAATAAAACAAGTAATGCTCGTAGCTACGACTCACTTCACCCTCGACTGAATTCATTCTATTCACTTTGACAAATATTATCAGATAAATCGTCAGTTCGTATGATGCTATAGCCAACACTATACGAACAAGTCTTTCAACTTTTGCAATTTGGAAAAAGCAACACTGATAATGTCGAGTTTAGAATATGTAGTATTCGCGCGATATTCTCATCATAGATTACATTTCTTTGGCTTTTATGAGAAATTGGTACGATTTTGAATTAGTCGCCTTCACCACAACAATTGTCTCAGCTCTTTCGAAAAATACTCTATATTTCATTCAAAGCTTTACGCAAGAAAAGACGTATCTACCTCGTAAATGAATGGCGAGTCGCTCATCAGGGTCTCTCGAGAGCGCCAGTTGTGACCCACCGATCCCAGATTCTATCTACTTGGTTGAGCTCTTCTGAAAACTATTGTCCAATCTCTAGAAAGCTTCGCGAAAGAAAGGCTTATATCAATCTTAGAAATAAACGGCGAGTCATTCGTCGGCGCCACTCGTGACTTGCCAGCTCCATATCCTATCTTCTTTCCCAACTAATCGTTAAGTTGTGTTATGACTCAATTAAATTGGTTTCGTCTTAACGAATGAATCCATCTATCTAATCGAAAATGAACTTCTTTTTTATTTTCCCAACGATCACTGCATATGGACTATCGATCTGTATAAAACTCATCATGAGTTTTATACAGATCGATGGCCCAAGTATTGCTCTTTCAAATGGGGAAAATTGTAGCTCTCGATCTTGTTCCCATTAAAAGTTATTTGAAAAATGGCAAACTGATTTTTATTTTGGATCGGATAATACACGAGAGTAGGTGAATCATGATTCGTATAAATAGAAAAACATTAGTGAAGCAACGTATGTATAATATCATAGTTAGTGTTCAGAAGACCTTTGCATACGAATAGATAACACTCAAAAACAACATAGTAATGAGAAAATAATCATATGAAGTTATTACTCCACATCATATGCACCTCACAATAGTATGAAGAAGTCATCGAAAAAATAGCTATGTTTTTCATTTTTGTCCATGGGAATAAACATATTGTATTTCTATAGCTTATGAAAGTCAGAAGGTAGAAATGACACTTCAAAAACCTATTTGCAAACGTTTTTACTATGAATATGAGCTATGAACCATGGTTCATCTTTAATAAAATAATTAGCCAATTTCGCCGAAACACGAAGAGATATTCAAATCTTTTCTTGCCCGATGACTTATGAGATACCTTGTGTATAAAAAAAATAACGTTCGAAGTAGGTTTTTCTTCTTTGTTTATTCATTTTCCCTAGAGAAAAAGAGTTAATTTTATAATTGGAATTTTCCTATATTTCAATTTCATCGAAAAAACTTCTCTAGTGTTATAAAGTTGAATTAAAAAGAAAAACAAGCGGCTTAAAAATGAAACGCAGTAACTCGTACTAAATGTTGTAAATGAAGAAAAAAAATGGCAATGATTAAAGTACATAAAGACTAAAGATGCAGAAGAGATACATGACCATGGAAAGACATGTTTGCTCATTTTATTCGAAGCTTTTGATTTGTCAATCTCATTCGCTCATCATCGATTTATATTCATTCTATATTCTTTTCAGTCTCAAATACACGATGAATCATTTGCATCTCGACATGTGTTTCATGTCTGAAAGAACAACATTTGCAAGTAGTATCGACTAAAGAATGAAACAAGAAAATTATCAGTGTGTTATATTATTACATCATGAACGAGCAATAAGAAATCAGTTATCTCATACGATATTTTTGATTATTTTTGAGTACATGATATCTACTATTCATTTTCTAGCCTAAGTGATTACCTGGATTCTATATTAGCTGGCTATTGTCACTATTTACTCAACTTTCGTTCTGTTCTTAAATCGAAATTTGATCTTCTTTGCCAACATATATGACCACATCAAGTCATTTCTATTATATTGTCCCATGACAATGATACATCAAATCAATCAAACCTATTCTTTTCTCATTTTAAACTCGAGCAATTCATCCATCTTCAATCATTCGATATGACTACGATTAGTGATAATAAACACAGACATACACTGCTATATATAACTTAATTCTTTGACTGAATCGACTGGCACTACCCCATGCTCATAATTTCGTTTTAGTTTCATTGCCTCGTCTACGTCATTTAACTCTTCAAAGTTTCTTTTGCTGGGGCTTATCATTTATATTAAATCAAATTCCGAATCTTTATTCACTTGATGTCAAACTTTCTTATGATAATTATCCAAAGTGAACGTATAACATATCAGTATTGCCTCATCTAGGATGGCTCATCCTAATCATTCATGGTGCGTATAGTTATTTGAAAATTGTGTATATATATATATATATATATTCTTTGTTTTTTAAAGTTAAGGTAAAAAAAAGGCCATGATCCATGTAGAACAATTTTTATCTAAAATATCTAATCTATGTTATTTCGAACTTATTGCACAAGGTTATCTAGATCTTACTGATGGTCTAAAATGGGAATTACTTGTTTCACATTTGACTATATTCAACTTTTGATTGCATCTTCAATGTTCATTACCAGATTTTTCCAAAGAAAATATTCTTGATTCATTTTGTTCACTATTTTGCCTTGAACAAAAACGCTGATTTGTTGCCTATGATGGTCCATATTCGCAAAATATCTTTACGGTACCTCGTTTTACATCAAATATTTTCGTATATCCGAATATTTATTGGCCACCAATATGCACATCATCCAATTTCTGTTTTGATGAATATATCCATCAAATTGGTTTGTCATTATTTAATCCAATTATTTAACGTTTTATCAATGTCACACATCACTCGTATTCAATATAGAAGAAACCGACACCAATCTTATATCGACTTCATTTCTCGATCTCATTGAACATATATCTCATTTACATTCACTTTCGTGTCAAGATCTCTCTACATTAGCTGGCTTTTCACATGATATCGTCTTCGAAGCGATACGAACTTTACACGTACGAAACAATTTTGAAAAATCTGAAAGTGAAACCCACTATCGATTGGACCTAAATCGATTATGTAGTTTTATTAATTGATCAATTGAACTATCTACCAATTGCACAGTTTCAATTCTATTATCGTTCATCGTCACTGACGCGTTTTTCATCTCAAAGTTTTGCTCTAAATATATTTCATCATATTGGAGGATGAAATGAGATGGTTTCATGTTTTATGCAACAGTTCAATGATATCTGTGAGAATAATAAGTTATAATTGAGTACGAAAAACTAATCGATCTTTATCGAGATGATAATTTTTAATTTCATTGAGCGAAAAGCCAGTTCAGACCACTTGAGTTTCTGAATAGCGTTTTAAATTTTATAGTAATAATCTCCTTATCAATAAAAAGAAAAATACAAATACAATCATATAAAGATTGTCTTCGAAGGAATTTTTTGTACGTTGGAAATTTGTTTTTATCTTATATTTATTTTGCTTCAGTGGAACTCTAATTCGTTCTCAAATATATCATTAATATATATTTTCTCATTGTTTTTGCTTTTCTATTCTTTGCTTGTTATTGAATATTTTGATTTTAATTATCTGACAATCGAAATTCGTGTAAATCATCTTGAAAATGATTATGTTTTTATTCATGATTCAAATTCTATAACTGTCCCCGAAGTTTTATATGCTGCTGCATGGATTTGTGGTGAATTTTGTTCGTAAGTTAATAACGAGAAAAAAAATTTATTGAAAGAATTCTTGTTTTACTTTTCTCTATAGTTATTTAAAAGAACCATAAAAAATTCTTGAATCAATGCTTAATACAAAAATAACTCTATTTCTTGGACATATTCAATCTGTTTACTATCAAAATATTTTGAAAATTATTATATATTTAATTCAATCATCGAATAATGATGAAACATTAATTCAACAACTTCTTTCATTAACGATTGATAAAATGTCTTTATTTTTATCAAGTGGCGATGTCGAAGCACAAGAACGAGTAGGCCATGTTTCTTTTTATTTTAGAGGACATCAAGATAGAAAATTGTATTTTTCAGGTGGAGATGAACATGTAATTTCTGTTGCTTAGAAGATCACCTTCAAGAAAATTTTTTATTATACATCATTCAACGCAGTTTCATATGTTGATTTCTATTTGTGCTGATATAGGTCATATAGAAGAACTTGTAGGTAAAGTGTGAGTAGACTTAGATTGGCGCGAAGAGGTGCGCATCCATTTTGCTATAACAGAGTGGTTTGGAAAATTCATTGCAGAAATGTTCATCTTATTTCTCAAAGGTAACGACTCAAAATAAAATTTTTGTTTCACTAGAGAATGCACGAATTTTAAAATATGTATTGCTTTTGCCAATTAGTTGGTTACATCTTGAGTAAAAATTAATTTTTCGTAATTTAGTAATATTTTTAGACGAATTTTGGATCAGGTGGTTTTCTGTGTTACGCAACAATTTTTACGCAATCAGAAAGAGTGTATTTCCAAAGATATTAATCACTATCTGAATCATTGATCGCTTGATTTTCATTTTTTCATCTAATATTCACGCGCCTACCCACACAATGGACAGCCTGGCGATAAAATCGATTTATGATATCTGAATCTAGGTTGTAGCTAGCAATAAATCTACTATGAATCTGCATTTAATTACACTTTGAATTCTAATTGCAAATGAGTAGCCATCTTGCAATAGCTATCACCAAATAGATAAAATAATATAAATAAAACGTATGTTTCAGATTGAAGTTTTAATGATATTCATTAGATGTTATATAGTTATTCAGCGTTATATATTTACTCTATATACTACAGACCGTTTGGATTTACTGAAGATCCTTCTGCTCCATTAGAACTAAAAAATAACGACTGATGAATATGTAATTTTTTCCGACACTTTTATTTAAATTTGAATTTACTATCGGATTGAGTATGTCATCACCAAACTTAAATTGGATGCATAGCATACGGATCCAAACCCTTGTGAATATCCATTGTCCCAAATATAACCTCTGATATAGACCTGTCCTAATTGGCTTCTGCTGTGATCACTCATTTTTCGAATTGGCAAAGGTTCAAATAAATAATACAAGTTGAAACTTATACATTTTTCAAAGTTTTATATCGATTGTTTAGTTCTAAACACAAACCATAAATAGTAACTATTTGTCAAAAATCTTTCGAATGAAAGAGGCTAGATAGATCACAATTAATCAACATCAGCTATCCAAAGTTTACAAAATTATTTTTAGAGAGAATCTATTTGCTCAAATATACTGTAGGTTTTTTTATGTATCAAACAACTGATATACGTCATAGAATTTTGAGAGGTTGCTCTTTTGAAAATATTGATCGAAACTAATTGAACTTGAAAAGTTCATGAAAAATGCTATAAAAATAATCATAATATAAATCTTCGGATGTCTTTTACTAATAGCTCGAAATATCAAATATAAAAAAGAAAGAAATTATTTATTTAGGCAAGTGTTATTTTACATATTCTTAAAACAGCATTAAAATTAATTGAAAAATCTGAATTTAATGTTAATGAATTATCAGCATTATTTGATTGTGTTCTTAATCCAGTTGCTGCTAAAGCTCAAAGAAAAATTGTTGTACCAAATAGGTAAAATAAAATTTTTTTGATAAATTTTTTTTTTTGGATTTGATTATATTCTAGTTTGGATTTGAATGCTTGGATAAATGATCCTTCATCGGATAGTGCCGATGAATTAATAACAATAAGTTCACATTATGATAATAAAGATTTATTTTATGGTGATAATGGAGAAATTATAATTCTAATTTATATTCCGGTGTTACATTAAGTTATCAAAAATCAAAAAAATATATTGGACTAACTGCTGAAGAATTAGAAAAACAACGAGAATCAAGAAAACAAAGTGAACAAATGAATCCATTCTATTTGAAAGATTCAAAAAAACCAAAATTGACACAAACGGTATGAGTATGAATTTTTGATTTAGAGATCTTTCAAGGAAAGTTCCTCCCAACTAATTAATCGCTTTTGAGTTGAAACTATGCACATCATATTGACATAAATAAGCTACAGACATATTACAAATTTACGGTAGTTTTTAAACGAATGCATTAGTTCCTCTTCAGGAAAATTGATTTTCGAATTGTGACTTGAAACTCGATGTAAAGCCAGGGCTTAACGTTAGTGATTTGTGGTGAACGTTTCAAATCTTTTGATTAGCTTCTATGTTGACATAAGAACGTCGAATTTGTTATTAGATATAAAAGACAAGTTTTTACTATACCTTTATCTTAAGATAGGAACAATGGCAAGGTCTGAAACATTCACAAGAAACTAGTCTCGTTAAGGTCTGTCTCTATGGACAGTTCCAAGTCAAAATTCGAAAATTAGTTTTTATGATATTTCTGTAGGGCATCATGACTAGAATTCATCGAGTTCAAAGTTTTCGAACCTGGGACCGATCGGACGGGCTCGAACTACGACATTTATTTAAGAACTACCGTAAAACTCTAGTATCTCGACAGCAATAAGCTACGGCCTTAAACTCTCTTCAGGATATTCTTAACTCATTTGATTCTACAGAATACAAATAGTCTAGTTTAATTCTTGAATTTGTCTTTAATATTGTAGACTGAAACAACTTTGGATACTATAAATGGTAATGATCGTATTGAATCAACATTATCACAAGGAACAAATGTTACTAGATCACAATTAATACTATCTGATCAATAATATCGTCAAGCAAAAATTTATGAAGAAAATCGATATTTAAAGAAAAAAATCAAAACCTGATGATGAATCATCAAAAAAAGGAAATAAATCATCGAAAAAATCTAATATAACAGTAATCGATGATAATGATGATGATATTTATCGAATTGCTAAAGTAACACGTGGTGGTGAATTACCAGAAGGTGCTACAGAAAGTGGAAATGAAGATAATGATCATGATGTAATTGTTCGAAAAAATAAAAAATATGATCCACATCGAGCACTTAATATTGACTTAAGTGAAAAACCTATTCAATCGATTCCTACATCACCACCACCGTTGACATCTCAATTAAAAGAACCAGTTCCTAAACAAGTTGAAACACCTCCTATATTAACTGGAAAGCCAAAAAGATCTAAGAAAAAGAAAATAATTGAAAAACAAGAACAATCATCAACGTCGAAATCTAAACACAACCGAGAAAGTAGTGATTATAAAGGATTATTATCACCAGCTGATGAGGAAGAAAATTGTCCAACTTCAACACCTCCTCTTCCTGCTATTGCAAAGAAACCAAAGAAAAAAAATCATCGTCAGAAACAAACCACTTCTATTGGACATTATGACAGATGATATTCATCTAACAAATCAATCTGAGCAACAATACAAAGAACAAAATACTTATAAACTAGTTGCTCAATCTGACAATTGTAAGTTCAATAGTTATTCTAGTTTAACCAATAGATGAGGAAACTTCGCTAAGCGACAAAATGCTTTTGATATGAGTCTTATCTCATTCGATAGATTCTATTGAGATCTGAGAAAATCTATGCTACCTTCTTGAATGATGTCTATTGTATTAAGTTTTCAGCATAATCCTATAGTGTTCCGTCCGATTTCAATTTGTTATAAAGTTTGATATATTATTTATTTTTAGGAATATTCAATTAATCCAGATCCATCAATAGCTCAACTTGATGTAACATTTCTTTTAAAAAATCGAACATCATTTATTATTGATCATATAATTATTCATTGTATTGATAGTATGAGTTCGAAATTATTAAATACAACAAGTACAAATTTAATATCATTTCCATCTATAAATCTTTTTTTTCATTCACAAAATTATATTCATATTTATTTTTCAATAAATGCTATATTATTTTCTCAAAAATTAAAAACAACACTAACTTATTCTATAAATGTATGTTGAAAAAAAATAGAAAATAAAAAAAATCAGATTTTTTTATCATTATTTTTGATAAATATATTTAGAAATCAAATACAATTGAAACAGATAGAATTGAATTTAAACTTAATTTACCTTGTTCACAATATTTACGACGAAAGACTATTGATTCGTAAGAATAATTTTTTTTAGTAAATTATTTAATATATATATATATATATATTTTTGAAGTATTGCATTTGCTGATTTGATGAGTTCGGGTGCATTGATATGTCAATCACAACTTCGTATTTCATCATCTAATCAAGACTTTCTATTGATGATTAATACAATTTGTCAATCTTATCGATTAACTGGTTAGAAAAAGAATTTAAATAAATCGTTTTTTTTTATATTTAAGTTTTTAATTTAGTTGTCGAAAAAATTAATTCGGCTGCATCTTTATATGCTGAAACAATTCTTGAACAACCAATAGCTCTCTTATTTAAATCAATAGTATGTATATTTTGAGATTTTCATTAATAACCAAAGCAAATAATTTTTATTTATTTAGTTCTAATCTCATGGAAGAAATAAAAACAGCATTAAAGTAATTTGTTTTTCTTTTCTCTCTTTCCTTATTTCATTTATTTGTAGTTTTATTTTTATTTTTATTCCATAGACAATATCTATATATAAAGCGAAAAGAAAAATAACAACAGACAAACAGTGATCTTTTATTTTGTTGCATCTATTATCTTTATTTACAAAAAAAAATCTCTCTTATGTATCAGATAATAAGTATATTTGATCTTCTGACATATAGAAAAATATGTTCTTTGCTTCGTTTTATTCTGAATGATTATAGTCAATTCTCATGTGTATGCATATTATCTGTTTTTTGTTTTTTTAATTTGCTATAATTCGAACATTATATATATATATATTTATAAAATGAGAAAAATTAATGATAAACTATTTAATCATTCTCGATTGGTTTCAAATGATTAGAAGAAAGAAATTTTTCTTTTTCATGAAACTTATTAAATTTCCAAGTGAAATAAGTACTGATGAGCTGGATCAACCGTTAATTGTCTTGATCTTGGATAGAAAAAGTTTTTTAGTTCTGAGTTCGACAACTCTATTGTTTACGAAAAGAAAATGGATTATTTT